GTTTTGCTTATGACTACCACCTCCCCCAATCTGCTCTCCCTTCTATCAACCTTCTCCCTTCTCTTATCCCCTTCCCTTCCTACTTCCCTGTAAGTTAAGATAGATTTCTAGACCCAACTGAGTATGTATATTATCCTCTATTCAAGCCAATTCTGATGAGAGTAAGGTTTAAGGGCTCCCCCCACCTTCCTCATCACCCTTTCCACTGTAAAAGTTTTTTATTGCCTCTTTTATGTGAGATAATTTACCTCATTCTACCTCTCCCTTCCCCCTCCTCCCAGTGTATCATTCTTATTTCACACTCAGTAATTTTATTTTTTTAGATATCATCCCAGCATATGTGCCCTCTGTCTATGTATATTCCTTCTAACTGTCCTAATAAAGACAAAGTTCTTAGGAGTTAAAAGTATCATCTTCCCATGTAGGAATGTAAACAGTTTAACCTTATTGAATTCCTTATTATTTCTTTTTCCTGTTTAATTTTTTTATGCTTCTCTTGAGTCTTGTATTTGAAAATCAAATTTTCTATTCTGTTCTTCTTTTCATCAGGAATGCTTGAAAGTCCTCTCTTTCATTAAATATTTATTTTTCCCCTCAAGGATTATACTGTTTTGTTGGGTAGGGGAATTCTTGGCTGTAATCCAAGCTCCTTTATCTTCTAGAATATCATATCCCAAGCCCTCTGATCCCTTAATGTAGAAGCTGCTAGATCATGTGTTATCTTAACTGTAGCTCTGTAATATTTGAATTGTTTCTTTCTGGCTGTTTGCAATATTTTCTCCTTGACCTGGGAACTCTGGAATTTGACTATAATATTTCTGGGAGTTTTCATTTTGGGATGTCTTTCAGGAGGTAATCAGTGTATTCTTTCAATTTCTATTTTACCCTCTGGTTCCGGAATATTGAGATGGTTTTCCTTCATAATTTCTTGAAAGATGATGTATAGGCTTTTTTTTAAAATCATGGCCTTCAGGTAGTCCAATAATTCTTAAATTGTCTCTCCTGGATCTATTTTCTAGGTCAGTTGTTTTTCCAATGAGATATTTTACATTTTCTTCTTCTTTTGATTTTGTTTTATTGTTTCTTGATGTCTCATGGAGTCATTACCTTCCACTTGCCCAATTCTAATTTTTAAGAAATTATTTTCTTCAGTGAGCTTTTGTATCTCCTTTTCCATTTGGTCAATTATACTTTTTAAGGAGTTCTTTTATTCAGTGATTTTTTTGTATATCTTTTACTATTTGGCATATTCTGCTTTTTAAAGTATTATTTTCTTCAGGTTTTTTTTGCCTTCTTTACCAAGCTATTGACTCTTTTTTCATTATTTTCTTGCATTGCTCTTATTTCTTTTCCCAGTTTTTCCTCTATCTCTCTTCTTTGATTTTTAAAATTCTTTTGGAGCCTTTCCAAGAATTCTTTTTGGGGCTAGGACCAATTCACATTTTTCCTTTGAGACTTTGCATATAGCTGTTTTGACTTTGTTGTCTTCTGGGTTTGTGTTTTGATCTTCCCTTGTTACCACAATAACTTTGTATGATCAGGTTCTTTTTTGTTGTTTGCTCATTTTCCTGCCTATTTCTTGACTTTAAACTTTATGCTAAAGTTGGGCTCCACTCCCAGGATGGAGTGGGCAGTGTCCCAAGCTTCAATTTTTTCATGCTGTTATTTTCTGGGCTAGTTCTGGAGGTCTGTAAGTTTTTAGTTCTTCAAAGGTGGTATGATCTAAGGAGAGGTGTGGTCACAGCTCTTCTGGCCTGTGCTTTGGACTCTTTGGTACTCTTTTCTGCCCTGGAACTGTGACCAGGGTCCCCACTTCCCTGTTTCCAAATGCTCTAGTGTGCAAGAGCTCTTCCTCACCCTGGGACTACAACTTGAAACCTCACATAGGCAATGCAACAGAGTTCTGTGCCCATTGCCAGCAAAGTGTGACCTATAATCTCCTTCTGAGCATTGATCCAACCCCCTTACTGTCTGTGGGCTGAGAACTCTGGAAACCACTGATGATGCCTATTCAGTCACCCCAAATGCCTGCTGCTGGCTTGCTTGGGGATGGCCCATGCTGAACTTCACTCCACTCTCAAAACCCCAGTGAGACAGACCTTTCCTACCAACCTTCTAAGTTGTCTTGGGCTGGAAAATTGTTTCGCCTCAGCCTGTCCATTCTGCCACTCCAGAATTTGTTCTAAGGTGTTGTTTGGAGGGGAATTTGGGAGAGCTCAGGCAAGCCCCTGCCTTTATTCCACCATCTTGACTCCCCCCTGCTTTTTTTTATTGTGATAATTATACTTGTGTAGAATTGGTTTTCTTGGGCAGCTAGGTGGCACAGTGGATAGAACACAGGCCCTGAAGTCAAGAGGACCTGAGTTCAAATCCGGCCTCAGACCAAACACTTGACACTTACTAGCTGTGTGACCCTAGGCAAGTCACTTAATCCCAATTGCCTTAAAAAAAAAAAAAGAAGTAGTTTTCTTCATAACCCTATTGAGACAATGAAACTCCCAAGAGACAGGGTATCTGGGCGGTTCATAATATGTTTATTTATTAGGTTAGCTGGCAATCAATAAATTGATAGCTAGTGATTTCTCTCAGTAATCAAAGACACCAAGGGAGACCCTGAAATGTCTTAAATTCCTTCTGAAAGGGAATTCCCCTGACAGGTAAAAATCAACCTTGATTAGTGGACTCAGCTCCTCCAGCTGAGAATGTGGGCTGATCATGACTCTCAGCAGCCTCCAGAAATCTCAATAGGGGAATCCATTTCCATCCAGATCTCTCTGGCTAGTTTTCTCTTTCACAATTTGAGTCACCCTAAACTCTAATGGAGGGGACCAAGGACGGAGGTTCCTTTCCCCAGGGTAAGGGCTTGCCTGGACTGAATTCTGTTCATACTGAAAAGAGAAACGAGGTATCCTGGTTAGATGGGGTCCTGCCCAAGATTGATGAGCATGTACATTGAGGGCTAGGAGCAGTCCCATCAATCAACCATGTGCTTCAGAGACTGATTGACCTTAACAGGAGTTGTGCCTTTACTGAACATAGAAAGAAAAGGGTAGATCACAATTAATTATTAGTTATTAATATAATCATATGATATTAATTTCTCTCACTATGTATTTTACTTTATGCATTTCAAATCATCATTGTGAGAAGAGTTCATTAGACTACCAAAGAGGTCCATCACACACGCACACACACACACACACACACACAAAAAGGTTAAGAACCTCTACCCAAAACCCATCAGCCTAGTCCCTCCAAAGGCTTGAAATTCTTCTAAACTCAGACCTATTGACACTTCTAGGAACATCCCACACTTAACCCTATTGAAGACTTAGCTCCTCCCACTCCATCTTCCCTCTCTGAATATATTCTTACCACATAATCATCATTCACTCCTGGGTATGGGCCAGTTTGATCAGCAGTATACCAGCTGTACCATTTGTCTGACACCCCTTAATACTCTGATGAGATACTTACAGCCAAGTAAAATCAAGACAACAAACATATTAAGTACCTGCGATGGGCCAGCAACTGGCCAAAAAAAAAACCCAAAAGTCCTGTTGCATTCAGCCTCCCTTCTATACTGATACCTCAATAACCCATCCTTAAGCTATATTAAGTTCCGCCCATTTGTGGATACCACATAATTCCTCCCTAGATCCTCTTCCCATATGACCCCAATTGAGATGCAGCTTCTATGAAAACAGCTACAACCAACTGGGGTTTTGTCCACTTGGGCCTGTAATCCCAAAACCACTTTCAACCAATTAGGAAGTTTCCTAATCACTAGCAGACTGGTGGTGATCCTTGAGATTCACCCCTTCCTTTATGCAAAAAAGAAGAGAGAAAAGACTTCATAATAAATATTACATTATTAGAAGCATTAGGGCCTCAGACTCAAGAAGACATAGTTTAAATCCGACTTTTGCCAAACCGACTGTATGATGTTAGGCAATTCACTCAATCTCTTCTCAATGTCCCAGGTGACTCTCTAAGACTGTAAATCACCAAGTAGTGCTGATTTGTATCGGTAGGAGTTGCTCACCAGGAGCTCCCAAAACCAATAAAATCATTGGTTGAAATCATTGGCCTGGTCCTAAAAAAATTTATTTCTATGGTTCCTATCATCCAGAAGAAAAAATAAGGATAGTTCCACCCAATAGTCACTTCACTCCCAAAGTTTCTCAAAATAGACACTCCTTTCTTCATAAGTATCCATGAAAAATTCACAGTTTTGAATGAATGAAATAACATTAAGCTGTTAAGCAGGGGGAATACAAACAGAAGACAGTCCCTGCTCTTGAGGAGCTCACATTCTAATAGTGAGAAACAGTTATAGAAAGGTTCTGTTGCAGGGTGAAGAGAAAGGCCCAGGCATCCTTAGGATACACAGGGTATCATATGAAAGGGTACCTAGGGAAGTTAAGCCCACTTTGGAAAGGGGGAGTGATTCTAAGAGGGGTAGCTAGATGGTACAATGAACAGAGCACTGGGCCTGAAATCTGGTGGGCCTCAAGACACTAGCTGTGTGAAGTCACTTAACCCCATTTGCCTCAGTTTCTTCATCTATAAAATGAGCTGGAGAAGGATATGGCAAACCACTCCAGTATCTTTGCCAAGAAAAACCCAAAAGGGGACACATAGAGTCAGACACAACTGAAAACAACTAAACAACAACAACAGTGATTCCAAGAGTTAGATGAAAAGTTCCCTCTAGCAAGAGTAGGGATGGGAAAGGAGGGGTAGTCAGTTCTAGGGAAAGGAGGAATTGGAAGGAAGGTTAGGGGTAGAAACTGGGAGTCCTGGGGAGGAAGAAGGGCAGGTTTTTGCCACGCACAAGGTCAGCAAGTTCCTCTAGGAAGTAAAAAGTCTCCCCCTTCACATCAGGGACTCCCTAAGGGCTGGGCCATGTCTTTTCCTTACGAGCTCCATAACCTACCTGCTCTAAGCCTAAGTGGTATGGATCTCCTGAAGTTATCCCACCTTATTCTTTGATTTAGGAGCCAGGGAGATGCCAGAAGCACAGCTGTACCCAGGTAAAATGAATAAAATAAGGAAGTCATCTTCCATAAAGAAGGAGAGTGAAATAAGGAAACCAGGGCAGGAAACCTCAGCAGAGAAGAAGGTGGTGGCAGAAAACGAATCTAAGCTAATGAAGAAAGCATCATCAAAAGCAACCAATGACTGGAAGAAGATAATGGCAGCAAAGGCCGCAGCGAAAACAATCGCCGCCATGACAAGGGAACAACTATCAAAGCACCAAAGCGAGTGGGGGGAGCCTACCGCGCAGGAGATGGCCACGTTTCTGAAAAAGTACCCAGATGCCCTGATGCGCAAGGACCTGACTTTCTTATCTCCAGCCGAGGCAAAGCGCTACTTGCTTTTTGTGGAACCCAAGAGGGCTGGCTCCACAGACGTGCTCAGCAGTGATTCGGTTGATAGCGTCAGCAGCAGTCAAGGCTGCAGGCGGTGGGAGCTTCCTGAGGAGCCAGAAACGGAACAGCAGAACCGCCTTATTGGGGTGCTGAAGGCTTCTGAGGCTCGAAGTCGAGTCCGAGCGCTACGACTCCGATATACGCGGATGAGGGTAAGAGATGCAGGTTAGACACTAACAAAAAAATCTCTTACTTCACGGGAAGCTTCTTAGACATTACCAAGGATCCTTTTTGGGGACGAGGTTGGGGATATAATAAGATTGGCCCACTTACCCACCACCCCACGTGTTGTGAATCCTAGATTCTTCACACCAGCCATCCCTGGGATAGCCTCAAGTCTGGGAGGTTGGGGTGGGAGGGAAGGGGATGGCTTGGAACAAACAGGCACAGGATTCAAGATCCCAGTCCCGGGGGAACATGGTGGGGGGATGCCCCCCACAGGATGTGTGTTCCCACAAGAATGGGGCACAAGAAGATGCAACACTGTCTTGGGTGGTGGGGTGTTGGGTCCACAGGCTGAGGAGATAAAGCACCTGATTAGCAGGCAGAAAACAGCCCGGGCAGCAATCCGACTTGAACTATTCCTGCCCCCTCATCTGAACCCCACGAAGATCCCGGACTGTCTGGACAGACGTGAGGTGCCCCAAGCCCCAGGGAAGCTGGGAGGGAATGCCATAGATAGGACCCCAGTGGCAATAGGAGATCCTTGGGGAAGGGGAATAGGGAGAGCATGTGATATAACTCAATTTATGCAATTGGTGGAGTCCTGAAAAATAGTGTAAATTGAATAGTGTAAATTGAATCCTGTTGTACAGGAGGGGAAGAAAGAACTCTCCGCCCTCCACCCAACAACCGCAATCCTGTCCCTAATCACATTGACTTAAATCTAGTTTTCCTTTTACTTAAAGAAGGACCAACCTTTAACCACCCCCAGGAATATCCCTCCAGGACTTCCTACCCCAACCCCAGTAAAGCCAGGCAGAGAGGAGAGATGAGCTAGAATTCAAGAGGACTATGAGAGAGCAGTATTTTGCTTTAAAATATGCCTTTTGTACATTGGATTTTGGTCATCCAGGATTCCCTGGGGCAAACTCTCATCCTCAATTGTCCTCCTAAACCCCAAGGTTTCTCTTGATTTCCACAAATTCATAACATATTGATTTGGGCAGGGGGACAAGAAGGTGGGGAAAACATTACCATTCCTACAGTCACCTCTGTTCTCTCAGGCTCTCTGGCTTCCTCCCAGTTGCCCCAATTCCCCCTTAGTCCGGTCCCCTTAATTAACTCTTGTTCCCCCTGAGACATTCCTGTCACCTCAGTCACTCATGTCTTTCAAATAGACTCTACTCCTGTCACTTCTCTCCTCCTGAGTTATTACTGTCCCCTCAGTCATACCTGTTCCAGTCATTGATGGTCAGCCCCTTCTAGTTACTTCTTAACCCTCAGACTCTCCAGTCTCACTTTATGCATTCCTGTCCCTTCTCTTTTATTCTGATTGCTCCTGAAACTGCAAATCACTCTTGTCACTCCTATTCCTTCAATAACTCCCATAACTCCTCATCCATTTCTGTTGCCCTGAGCCACACCTGTCTTCCAAAGTCAATCATGTCACCTCAACCATTCCTGATTTCCTTCATTCACTCTTTCCCCTCTTCAATTATTACTGTCACTTCTACTCTTGATTTATGATTTTTCCCCTTCACTGAGTCTCCATTCCAACAAAACTAGCCTACATTCTATTTCCTGCCTCCAAATCTTTACATCCCCCCCCCTTACCCAAATTGAAGCTCAGGTACCACCTACTGTAGAATCACCTACTATATACTATAGAATGCTTTTCACAATCCTTCCTGTTGTACTCTTTCTTTTGGCATTACTTTGTCTATATTTGATATATTTGATTTCACTTACCCACCCTTCTCAGACACAGCTGTCTCCCTTCAGTCATTCCTATTCTTTAGTTACTATAGTCCCCATCCCCATTTAGTTTCTTCTGTCTTTCCAACTTCCCTTCCCCACCATCCTAGAGGCATCGTGTAGAAGCCATCCTGCAAGAAGACAACATCCATCCACTGTTCAGATGATTTGGAGGAGTCAGCTGGGGATCATTTTCCCTACACTTCAAGCTCTGGACCAAAAAGAAAAAGAAAAAAAATGAGAGAGAAGAATTCTTTCCACCTGAGACTTTTATCTTCTATCATAGTGTTCCCTTATGGCATGCCTAAGACTCTTAATTTTGTAACCATAAATTGGGTACCTGGGTCTGGTTTCAGCACCACACAAACAAGCCTCCTTGGCCTAGGCAAGATCACAGACACATATAGTGAATATTAGGCACCAGATAGCACTTTGCTGAAATCTAGATTGGAATGCTGTAAAAAACAAAAAACAAACAAAAAAAACCCATGGATTTCATCAGAATATCTGAAAAAGTTGAACATTAAAATTAGGAATAAGGAGGAAAGATAAGGGCTATATGACTATCCCAAACTAAATTTGGAACTAACCAAATGACTAGACCCAAAGGGCAGTCCATTTGATGGAAAGTCTCAAGAGAAATCAATCCTGGGCCTTTTACTATTTAATATTATTATCAGTGACTTGAATAATACCATAGAATCCTGATCAAAAGAGCTTTGTAGATGAGTTGAAGCTGAGAGAGACAGGTAGCAGGTTGGATGCCAGAATCCAAAAAGAGCTCCACAGGCTAGAATGGTTGGGCCAAAACTAATGAGATGCAGGTTAATAGAGATAAATATAAATTCTGAAACAAGCTCCAAAAAAACAAATACACAAATCCAGAAGCAGGGGGAAACTTTTCTATACAACAGTTCAAGTGGGAAAAAAAATCAAAGGTTCTACTGGATACAATTCAATATGAGTCAACAGAATGACATGGCAGCTAAAATGGCTACTGTGATCTTCATAGAAGTAGAGTGTCTCCAATGAAGGAAGTTGTATAGTACAACTCTATTCCACTCTAATGTAGTACTGATGTGATCAGTGCCCATCTGGGGTATTAGGTCCTGGGCATCACACTTTAGGAAGGGCACTGATAAGTTAGAGTGTGTATAAAGGAGAATATGAGATTATACTCCATGAGAATCAATGGAAATACCTGGAGATATTTACCCAGGAAAAGAGAAGATTTGGGGGCAGCTAGGTGGCGCAGTGAGTAGAGCACCAGCCCTGGAGTCAGGAGGACCTGAGTTCAAATCCGAACTCAGACACATAACACTTACTAGCTGTGTGACCCTGGGCAAGTCACTTAACCCCTTTGCCTAACCAAAAAAAAAAAAGAGAGAGAGAGAAGACTTAAGGGGAACATAAATATTTGAAGATCTGCCCATGTCAAAGACAACTTTGACTTGCTTAGCCAACCTTAGAACAACAAGTAGAAGTTTCAGAGGCAGATCCCAGCCCAACAATTAGAGCTATCCAAATGCTGAATGGATGCCAAAGGAGACAGCACATTTCTCAAAACTAGAGGTCTTCAAATAGAGAAGGTCCTTCCAACTTGAAGATTCTATATGATTCTCTTCTTTCTCTGTGTCTTGTCTTTGTTGTGGTTGTTGTTTAGTTATATCTGGCTCTTTGTGACCCTGTATGGTGTTTTCTTAGCAAAGGTACTGGTTCATTTCCTTCTCCAGTGAATTAAGACAAACAGAGGTTGAGTGGCTTGCCCAGAGTCACACAGCTAGTGTGTGACTGAGGCTGGATTTGAACTCAGGTCTTCTTGACTCTGAACGTAGCACTCTATCTACTACTGAGCCACCTAGCTGCCAACAACAACAACAGCAAATGATTCTCTTCTTTCTCTGTGTGTCTTGGTTGTCTTTGTGTTCAACTCCTTCACTCTCTGAGGCCTCTGCTGCCTTTGGCTTCCATCCAAATCCACGGTTTTCCAAGCTCAGAAACAGAAGAATATTGGAAGGCCCCTTCAATTTAGAGGGAAGGAGAAAGATTCTTTTTTATAACTACTGAAGACAAGAGGAAGAAGGAATGGGAAGGGGATGGGGGTGAGAAAAATAGGTCTCTGGATTCGGGAGAACCTAGGTGAGGAGGGGGAGGTACAATTCTGCCTTCAGGGAGCTTCCAGTAAGAGGAGAAAGCAAGTTACCTAATTCCAGGAATTTGTTATGAAACAACCCCAAAGATTTCCTCCAAAGACATTCTGCCCCCCAAGTCTAGATCAACAAACATTAACTATTACAGGGCACTATGCTAGGCTATGGATAAAAGAACAAAAGGCTTTTTCATAATCCTGGGTTGGGGGCTTGGGAAGGGAATATAATATATACATAGATAAGCAAGAACAAATATAGACAAAGTAATGTCAAAAGAAAGAGTACAACAGGAAGGATTGTGAAAAGCATTCTATAGTATATAGTAGGTGATTCTACAGTAGGTGGTACCTGAGCTGCAATTTGGGTAAGGGGGGGGGATGTAAAGATTTGGAGGCAGGAAATAGAATGTGGGCTAGCTTTGTTGGAATGGAGACTCTGTGAAGGAGAAAAATCATAAATCAAACTGAAAAAGTAAGATATCAAGTAGTAGAAAACTTTTTAACTGTCAGGCTCAGGATTGTGTATTTTATCCTATAGGCAGTAGGAAACCACTAAAGTGTTTTGAGTAGGTGACTGACATAGCCCGATATATGCTTTGGGAATGTCAGTTTGGTGGGAGGCTGGATTGGTTATGGGAGAGAATAGAAGCAGGGAGAACAATTAGTAACCTAATACAATAGCCTAAGTGAAAAGTTGCAAAGCCCTGAATCATGGTAAAGCCTATGAGTAGAGAAAAAGAGAAAGTGAAGAAAAAAAATGAAAGAAGTTGTAGAAGTACATTGGATAGTACTTGGCAACTGATGGTATGTGAGCATAAAAAAGAGCGAAGAGTCAAGAAGGAATCCAACGTTGGGGAGCTGGATGCCTGAAAGGATGATTGTATCCCCAAAAAGTATAGGGAAATGTGGAAGAGAGATAGGTCAGGGAAGAAATGAGTTCCATTTTTGACAGGCAGAATTGGAGGTGCTGGTAATATATCCAGATAGAAATGTCTAGCAGCCAGCTGGTGATAGAGAATTGAAGCTTAAAAAAATAAATAAATAAATAAATAAGAATTGAAGCTTAAGAGATTAAGACTAGATATATAGATTTGGGGGTCATCTGAATAGAGAAGACCCATGGGAACTAATGAAATCACCACCAAAAGAGAGCAGAAAGAAGCATGCCCAAGACAGAAGGCTTAGGGGATGCTGTCCATGCTTATTGGATAGGGCAGGGAGGAGTAAAGAAGGAACAACCAGACAGGGAGAATCCCAGGAGAGAGCAATGTCTCAAAAGCCAAGTGAAGATAAAGAATCCCAGCAGAGGGAGTGGTAAGTGGTTTTGAAAGATGCAAAGAAGTCAAGTATAATCCCTGAGAAATGGCCATTGGATTAACATTGTATTAACCACAATTTTAGATGACTAAGGGGATGTCAAGGTGCCCCTTAAGGAGATGGCAGTTGTGTACAGAGGTTTTTTGGTTGGTTGGTTGGTTTTTAGAATAGAGAGATTTGGGCATATTAACAGAAGAGGAGGAACCAGTGGATAAGAGACTGAAAAAAGAGTAGGCATTCAAGAGGGCAAATAGAGGGGCTGACTTGGTAAGAAGGGCTCTCTTTTTTTCCAGAGGCTGAAGCAAGAGGAAAGGATGGATGGAGAGATGGAGGGATGGATGGGTGGATAAATGGATGGATGGTTGGTGGTGAGGGATTCTGAGGTATAGATTAAGGGATAACAGAGATCACAATGGATAGCCTCTTTTACTAGTAGACTAAATGGCGGGTACTGGGAAATAGAGAGGGAGAAAGTAGTGGTTGAGGTTTGAGAAAACACTTGGAACACATGCAGGGTTTGATTTGGGGGGTTTTTACCCTTAAGATGGGGAAACCTGAGCATATTGAGAGGAGAGGAAGAACCAGTAGATCAGAAGAGACTAAAAATAAGAGAGATTAGGAATGATTGAGGGGGGTGAGTTCCCAGGACATGTGAGGAGATTGGAATCAAAAGCATAAGTAAAGAGGTTTGACTTGGTAAGAAGAGTCCTCTTTTTTTCAGAGGCTGAAGCAAAAGAGAAAAGAATAGATGAATAGTGGTGAGGGATTCTGAGTTGTGGACTAAGGGAGAACAGGGTGTTCTCAATGAATAACCTCTTTTTACTAGTAAATGTCAGTAAAGATAGGGAGAAGGAAAAAGTAGTAGAGGAGGTTTAAAAAGAGGTTGGGAACTTTGGGCTATAATTCGATAGAAAGTCAACCAGAAACCAAAAAAAAAATTATCATTGCAGTAATTAGGGGCTGGCTGAGATTAGTGTAGTGGACCCAGTTGGTTAGATGGTGACTTCCTGAGCTAGATGGGAGTAGAAGCAGAGAAACCAGATGAGGTAACTCAGGTCAGAATTTAAGCAAGGCATCAATAAGGACAAGGGAGGAAGGGGATCAAACAGAGGGCTCAGTGTAAAATTGAGTTAGTTAACCAGAGGGTCAATACTGTGAAAGGAGAAAAGAGAAGCCAGAGAAAGGGGTTATGGACTGGGAGAGCAGGGAGGAGCCGAGCGACAAAATTGGGTGGAGGACAAAGGAGAGAGTTCCCAAGAAACTTCCAAGTGCCATTGGGGGGGGTGAGGGGGAGTGACTGGGCTAGAGGAAGATTTCTCAAAAGACTTTAATCCTAGGATTTAAAGCCCTTGTCTTTCCTTTGCTCTGCAATGACCCTCCCCCATCAGGCCCATTATAGTGCAGAATATGTTCAGGCAGCTGTATACAGATCACAAACTATTCTACTCCAGGACGAGTGATTTTCAGAGCATTGAAATGAGGCAGAAGAGAATCTGAGGATGAACTTCACTTCTGCCAGAGTTTGATGGCAACCCTGAGATACATTTGAGTACATCTAGCTGAGGTAGTTCACTGAGCATACAACTTCACAGAAACTAATAAAACTGTCATCAAAAGACAGCAGATAGAAGGGTGCCCAGGCCAGAGACTTGGGGAATGAGGCCATATTTAATGGTTAAGGTTATAGTGCATAGAGATGTGGCCACAAGCCAGGGAGACCTGGATTTCAAGGCATTATTTTAAAGTTGTTTGGAGGGGAATGTTGGGAAAGCTGGACT